TTTTTTTTTTTTTTTTTTTTTCTTCATTTTATTAATTCTTAATTACTATTTCATTAATTACTATTTCAAAGGTGACCCTGGTTATCAATTTAAGCAAATCTCGACAAAGTGACCATGGTGTATCATATCTTCTTGTCGATGATATAACCAGTTAAAAATATTATATAATCGACAAAGTTAAAAACAATTGAGTTAAAAACAATTGTATTTTTTTAGTTGGGTGAAAAATTGAATCGTTAATATTTAATTTGGATTTGGATTGAATTGATTATCAAACATAGTTGCACTTAAAAGGAACGAAAAAAATAAAACTTTGATCAAATTGATATGATATATGATATATGTCTAATATATTTTTAAGTGGGTAAAATATTATAATCTTGATCAAAAAGTCAAAAGCCCGAAAAAACATAGATAATTATCAACTTCTCCTTTCCCTTCCGGAAACACTTTAAATTAAGAGTGTTAACTCTTTTGGTAGAGAAAAAAATTCTATCAGAACTATAAATTTAGAAGCATCAACAATATGTCACTACAAAGACAGCAGTTGAAAGAGGTGAAAAGGAAACATGCAGCCATCAGTCACCAAGAACTCACTAAACGCCGAAGCAAAACAAAACAAAAGGACCATTGTTCATAATGTTCAGACCACAACAAAGAACATAACTTAATTTAGCTCATTGAATGGATGCTGCGGCAGCTCATTCTTTCTTCTACAGAAATGGAGGAAGTATCACCCATCTGCGTGGATACTTTGGTCTTCCCTCTTTCCCATCAAACAGCTGCAGATACGAAACAAATGATCAAATGAGAGGCAAAATCACTATAAAAAGCCTCTAGCAAGATCCAAACATGTGATGGGAAGCTTAAGAGAGATGTTTAGAACAAGGGAATCGCACGTTTTGAGTTTAGAGGTGATTTAACATAGTATAAGTTATACGATACCTTTTTGAGGCGACGGTGCTTTGCGAGGGCCCAGTTTGTCATGATAAGAGTAGCAACCACAAGAAAGACATAACCAGCAACAGTCTGTGTAGCTATATTGAAGCCTACCCACTGATATATCTCTGTTGTGTAATTTGCACATGTCACAATGTTGAACAGAAACCCCTTAGGGATTTGATATCCCCCACTGCCCTCAGGGCTCCGCAGTTTTCTCAGCAAGATATGACAGTAGAAGTTTGACACTTGACACAGCAAACCAAATGCAAACCCAATCTTCATTTGAAGGTCACTAACAGGCGTATAAAGTGGGTGATTCACATAATATGCAATATACGAGCCAAACGACCAGTAGTAAGCACAGTTCCGGAAGACATTCGAGAGCGGTGAGGTTGCGTGGCTGAACCTATGCACGAAAAATGTTTCCATGATCCGTTTGAAGTAATGAAAACACCAGTAGTACATTGCATACGTCTGAACCGGATGGATGATACGTTCTGCATTGTAGCCAAAGAGCTGATATACAGGGAAGTAGTAAAAGATGGGGTAGAGGATCAAGGGACCTAAGTATTCCCAGAAAAAGAGTGTACGATACGAAACTTGCGGGCCCAAGTCCTTGAAGACGACCGATATGATGTCCGAGTTGTCGCTACAATATTCTCTAAGGCTTTTCTTGTAGTTAAGAACAGTAGGCCTCTCCTTTGAACCAGGTTGAACGGGAAGAGTTAACCTTTGCCTAGCAGGGTAGAACTTTTTGGCTGTTTAGAGAATGAAACAAGGAAATCATATAGCTGCACTTTACATAAAGAAATGATAACGATTTACATGCATACGTCCTAATAAGAAGTCGTAACAGTAATAACAATATCAAATGTTTAACAGTCCAAGCCTACTACTAGCAGATATATCTTCTTTGAGCTTTCTCTTTCGGGCTTCCCCTCAATGATTTTAAAACGCATCTGCTAGGGAGAGGTTTTCACACCCTTATAAAGAATGTTTCGTTCTCCTCTCCAACTGATGTGGGATCTCACAATCCACCCCCCCTTTGGGACCCAGTGTCCTTGCTAGCACACCGCCGCATGTCCACCCCTTTCGGGGCTCAACCTCCTCGCTAGCACATCGCCTAATGTCTAGCTCTGATACCATTTGTAACAGTCCAAGCCCACTACTGGCAGATATTGTCCTCTTTGGGCTTCCCCTCAAGGTTTTTAAAATGCGTTTGCTAGGGAGAGGTTTCCACACCCTTATAAAGAATGTTTCGTTCTCCTTTCCAACCGATGTGAAATATCACATAGACACTATCAAGTCTTAATCATTTTAGATTTCTTTTTGTTTTTCTTCTTTATAAAACTCAGTGGAGTGGAGGATTCCATCCACAGTAAATGTCATTAAGGTACTTTGTGTTTAATCTTAGCAGACAACAACAAGAGAGCCATGTCGAAGACGAAGACGAATCGAAGGAGGAAGCCAAGATGCCAAGTTCAGATTCCATTGCCTGAACCTGTCAGTTCTCTAGCCAAGACGCTAGAGAACCGAAAATTCTATGCAATATAATCAAGAACAATAAACATACAGTTGGGAAAAAGCAGAAAAGACCAGCATACTTAGTAACAAAGTTTTAATTCCTCAACAATTCCACACCCAAAAGCTTAAACTGCCAGGCTAGTTTAAACTTAATCTTTTAGATTCATCCATGGCATATCAGCAACCAAAACATAGCTCAACTAAGCAACATATATGCCCTTAACAAGAAGCCATACTTGAACTTAGCCGCAATATGTTGTTGAACTAAAAGAAAATGAATCTGCAAACTCCAATTCTGTCATTCACTTCAATAAACATGCAAATCTAAGGAAATAAGAGCATGTGTGCAGCAATTAAAGGAACCATTCTACTAGGTTGCACTCACTTCGCTTATAAATCGCATCCTGTAGATCAGCCACCGAAGCCTGCAAAAAACAAAACGAAAATTTCCATTAAACTCAAAGTCCCATATTCTTCTCGTCCTTTCTTCTTTTCCAAGAATCGAGAAGGGAAGTGGGAAAGAAACAGTAATTCAATCAAATTCCAAACACTTACAGAGTCGCTCAGTTGAATGCCCCCCTTAACAATCTCTCTCCCACTGCGAGAAACCACCGAGACCTTCATTTTCGAAGCCAAATTAGAGAACCAGCTGGGCAAGTAAGCCTAATTTTTAAAACCCAGATCCCAAAAGAGCAGAACAAGAAAACCCAGAACCAAGAAATGGTTATGTGATGAGATCCCAAGTGGGTTTTAATTGAAAAATGACGAAAGTTTGAGGGTTTGAAGTGGGAGGTTGGGAAGTAGGGTATTAAATGGGGTGCAGTTGGGGTAGGAGAGCTAATTCCGATGACCCGTGCCGCTAATCATCTCCTTATTACACAAATCAACACATCGTTCAATCTGGAAGGCTGGCGGCCGACAAACAACTGAAGAAATTTATGAGGATGGGATGAACGGGAACCTAAATTCTTAATTGCAGCAAAATTTTGGTATGGATTAGTGAATTTGTGGCTGTGTCATCACTCCAAAAATCTAGAAGAGCAGATGGTAAGTGTAGAGAAACTTTCTATAAGCAGCCAACCTCATTTATAGTCAGCCCATCTTGCATTTATGCACAGAGTATATTGATGATCTTGAAAAAGGTTTCGTTTCAAGTTAGAAAGATATTAGAAAATTTGAGATTTGACGCTAGGCTTAGGTTCACAATTTTGATCGAAATTGAGTTAAGAGTAATAACAATTTTCATATAAGACGGGTCGATTAAGTTAAGGAAAGTTTAAACATTATTTAAAATTTAGGTCATATTTGATTTGGGCCAATTTTGGGAGATTGGAACGAAGCTGGGCCAAAGGGAAGTTGGCGGGCAGATTGAATTGCGGAACCCTATTGTAGCGAAATGTACTTTGGGAGTCTCCTGTGCCATTTTACGGGGAATTGAAATCTTGGTGGTGGGTGTTGAGCTGAATCATGGCTCGGAAATTCGGCGGTGGGTTGCGCCCGACTGGAACTCCCTCAGTGGGTTGGTCCTTTGTCGTCGTCGTCTCTTCGCTTCTCGCCGGCGCCTCCATCGTCCACAACATCTACAAACCAAATCTTGTACGCTCCCTCTTTCTCTCTCAATCTGTTCTGTGCATATATCCGTAGAGCGACTCTTTGATGATTGTTCGTTGTCGGAAATATAGTCATGTGTCTATCGATTGGTGGTTTGCCATGCCTGTAACCTGTTCGATGAAAGGCCCACCTTGTATTTTGTGCCTATTGTTTTCTTATTTGATTACGAGCCTGTCATTCTCTGTTTTTGATCAATGGGGGATTCGGAAAAATTGTCCTGCTATGTTTTCTTGATATTAGATATCAATTTCAACTTCTGAGTTTCTTCAGAAATCCATTTGGTACCGTTGGCAATTTAACTTGACAATGCCTGCAACCTGTTCGATGAAAGTCCACCTTGTAATTTATTCCCACTGCCTTCTTATTTGAGTATTAGCCTGTCATTTACTGCTTTTGATCAATGGGTTTCAGAAATCAGATATCAACTTTTTCCCTTTTTCCAGAAATTCCAAGGATCACCGATCCGTTCTCTATTTCTTGCTTTTCTTTTTTGTTAGCTGTTCATAAAAAGTTCAATTTTTTCTGTTCATACATTTTTGCTATCGTGTTGCTTCATCCATTTGTCTTGTAGTCTCCCAGTTTCTAACTTTTATCGTTTTAATGTTCTTGTAGACCTTGCCTCCAGTGGATAGTGTCCAAGCGACCAGCAAGAAAGACCATGTTTAAAATCAATTACTTTATAACTTCGTTTCTTTTCAGTTTCTGTTATCGTTGAGCTCAAATTGTTTTTCCACACGTTTTGATGTGAAAGTTCTCTACTGTTCAGAATGGAACAATAGAGTCTTTGAAAAACGATTCATCTCGAGAGCTTCAAGTGTGTTGTAAAATTCACAAAGTTATAACTAGTGCATTCTCCCTTTTGATTCTTTATAATTCTAAGCGGCTTTACCTCGTTCTCATTCAAGAAAAGAGCGCCTGAAAAGAGCACCTTCACCTATTTACATGTTCAATCAAAGAGATAGTGAAACCCATATTTACAAGGTTGAAGATTTCATTGACTCATGTTTTTGTTCATGTTCAAGATTTTGTTCGTTTACTCGACTGTAAAGTTCAGGTCAAGTAATAGAGGTTTAGGAAGAAGACGAGTTAGAGAGGTTCAGGAGAATTAATGGTCTTGCCTACGAGTGGTATGACAATCTCAAGTTCGGGTTCATATCAAGCTGAAAACCGATGCAAAGATAAGTGCTTAGGCAAGCACTCGGGTTAGCGGATCCGCTTAAGAAGCAAATCAAACTAAAAAGTCTTCAAGCTCCCCAGATGACTTCCCTGCTCTTCCTGCAATCTTCTCAATCCACATAGTCACAATTCTTTCTCTTAAAGGTAACACAAAGAAATGGCGATCAATCCAAGCCATCCAGAGCATGAACTGTAGCCGAAGTTGTACCTGAAACCTTACACCTGCAACGGGTGCATGGAAAAGTGGGATTTCGATCATAACAAGGCCTGTATGTGACCACAAAATTCACCAATTTCCCACGAATTCTTCCCGAACTCCACCTTCAAATTCCTTAGAACCCCACCGAGAGCCTGCCACGACGGATGCAAAGGGAACCGCGACGCCTGCAAAAAGCCAATCAATGGCGTTGTGTACCACTGCGAGAAAGACAACTTGGATCTCCACCCCTGCTGCCCAGAACTCAAAGGGAAGTGCATGTGGTGCAAGAGGAAGAGGCTTAAAGAGTTTATAAATGAGAGATATAAGGAACTCTCATTGCTGCTCTCGAATCAGCTATCCCTTCCTTCCCCTCCCCGAGAATCCAAAGACTGATCAGAAGCTTCCGACCTCTCCTCAAAGATGTCTTGGAAACAACCTACAATTTTAACATTATTTAGTGTTAGTAATCGAAAAATAAAATGAGAATTTCTCTCCACTCAAATGGAGTCAAAAAAAGATCTAGAAGTGCCCTTACCAAAGGTTTAGTTTTCAAAAATACACAAAACTTTCAAAAGTCAAATTTAACACCTTCAAACTTTTTTAAAAAATTTAAAAACTTGAAGATAATCTATGAGTCAGAGAAAGATGTGTCAATTCATATAGTGATGAATAAGAAAGTTTAAGGATATTAATACTACTTTTAAATTTTTATAAGTATTTTTAAAAATTAAAAAATAAAAATAAAAATAAAAAGTGTTTTTGAGAGTGGAAGCTCAGGGAGTATTGTTAAATTTAAAATAATAATAATAAAAATAAAATAATTTAACTTTTGAAAATTCATAGCTTTAACTAAAAAATATTAAATATAAACGTACCCCACAAACTAAACGTCATTGCGTGAGGAGGAGTTCGCGAAGAGGAAGGGAAATAAACCGCGTAAAATCCCAGTGTTCAGAAATTTCATCCAAATTCATATGTTTTTCTATGCATAAAGAGGGAGGAAAATAGCTTAAAACTTTTTGTCCCCAATTTCACCGCCTCCGAGCGACCACAGTACACAATGTAATAGAACTAAGATGTAACATTTATGAATGGTCGAACCCCCGGTTCTACAAGAACTTGGCGAAGAAGATAAAAGCACGGCGTAAAATGAAAATCCCAGTGTTGAGAAATTTCTTTAGAATTCATATGGAATTTCAATGCAATGCATAGAGACGAAGAAAAATACCTGAAACTCAACGCCTTCGATTTCATTATATATAGCCACGCATTCCATTCTGCATATTCTCAAATCTCTTCTCTGCTCAGATCTTTTCCCTGCTCCCAGAATTGTTCTTTGGCTTTGTTCTTGTTTTTTCTTTTGAAGGCAACACAGAGATATGGCGATGGGGACCTTGCGCAATCCAAGCCACCAGATGCATGAATTGGAGCTGAAGGAGTATCAGAAACCTTACACCTGCGATGGCTGCAAGGAAACAGGATTCGGCCCTCGATACCGATGCGAAAAATGCGATTTTGATCTCCACAGAGCCTGTATGTTTGCACACAATGCACCGAATTCCCATGAATTCTTTCCGGGTTCCACCTTTGAGTTCCTCAGAAACCCACCAAAATGCTGCCACGAGACCATAGTAAGGTGCGACGCTTGCAGAAAAACCATCAATGGCTTCGTGTTCCACTGCGAGGAAGATGACTTGGACCTCCACCCATGCTGCCGAAACCTCAAAAATAGTTACCAAATTGAAGGCGTGGAGTTCAATCTCCACAAGAAGGTGAAACGGAAGTGCACGTGGTGCAAGAGTAAGCGCCCCAAACACGGCGGCAAAGGCAAAGGCAAAGGGTGGTCCTACATCTCTGAATGCGGCAACTACCATGTTCATGTGGCTTGTGTTACTGAAATGGTTTTAAATGAATTGAACAGAAGCGGAGGAAACACTGCTGAAAAATCTTTGGCTCTGAATGTGAATCTGAAAGAAATTAGCCGTCCGAAGAAAGGCGGAGGAGGTAACAAGATGCTGAGAATCCTCAAGATCTTCATCCAGACCGTCATTAGTATCATACTTGGGGATCCCACCATGATTTTGGCCTCCCTCTTTGTCCAACTGATTGCATGAAACTTCTTTGACTTTTGCTTCGCCTTTTCCTTCGGAATTGTATTTCATCTTTTCTTTTACTCCAAATGCGTTTGTAATACTATGTTTCAATTTCGATTGTGTGCCTGCAAATGAACAGATCATAATAATGTTGCTTCTTCTTTATCGATGAACTATTTTATTGAAGATTTTTGTTCCCCTATCATTTTACATATGAACACAGAGAAACATAAAGGCAAATGTCTGTTTCAAAACGGAAAAACAGAAATAAATAAAGTAGATTACAGAATTTTTCGAAAAATGAAAAGGTTAACCTAATTTCATTAACAGAAATACGAAAACAATGCAACGTATCCCCAAATCTTCTGAGAATGGAGGAACTAATAAAACTAAAATCGGCAGAGCATCACTAATTTCAAGCAATGCATAAGCGGTTAGAAACCGATCGTCCATTTCCCAAATCTTGGATCAAAATCAAAGCAATACTGAAAACGATCCAACCGAACCAGTTCGGATCTTCGTGTCTATCCAGTAGATAGAAACAAGTTACCTGCTGTTGCCGTGGTCGTGCAGAGCTGGAAGTGAACTCCCATGGCAGACTAAGGATCGAAAGCGTCTGCTGCAGCACTCCCGATTCCCGATCAGCGAAGGACGATAGCGGCGAGTGGAAGATTGTTAATAGATAGAATAATTGGGGCTATGGGAAAGGAGAAATTGGGCTTGGGCTCAAGTATATTAATGGGCCGTTCGGAGCGTGGGCTCGGTTTCCATTGGGTTTCACTTGACAGTTTGGATTTAAACTCCATAATTTCTCTCTCCATTTTGTAAGAAAATTATTATTCATTTTATTTTAAAAATATTAATTTTAATTTAATTAAATTATAAATTTTTCTGTGTTTGATAAATTTTTACTTTCAAACCCTAATTATGAAATTTCTAACATATATGCATATTTGTATATTTATTTAAAATTAATTAGTCATAAAAAATAATAATATTACCGGGAGGTTTGGATTAATATCTAAAACAATTAAAAAAAAGTAATTCCAAACACGTTATATATTAATTTGAGAGTACGAAAGTATGAACATGAAAAATAATATAGGGAAGAAAGGTCTTTGATTATTATTTCCGACTACAAAATATTACTATGAGCATAGAGACAACAAATTTAAATGTTTATGTCGGTTTCGATGACACTCATTTCTAAAATCCCTTGTTCTAGTTCGCTTTACTTATTGGATGAAGGTAGAATAATCATAGATTTATAATCAAATAATACACTCTCGAGTAGACAATATCATACCATTGTAGAGAGACGTGTTCGTCCGTCTCCCGATAAATAAAGAAACATAAACAGAGAAGTGTAGCGCGTACCAGTGTTGGAGAAATTTCGTTCAAATTCATATGGAATGTCAATGCATGGAGTCGGAGAAAAGTAGCTGAAGTCATATGCTCATTAAATATGCCACACATCCCATTCTGCATATTCTCAAATCTCTTCTCTGCTCTGATCTTTTCCCTGCAGCACCCAGAATTGTTCTTGTTTCTTTTTTCTTTCGAAGGCAACACAGAGAAATGAATATGGAGAAATGCGCAAAGTGCAGGGAGTACCATGTTGATGTGGATTGTGTTATTGATATGGTGTTTGATGAATTGGACAGGAGCAGAGAAAACACTGCCGGACAATATCTCGTTGTGAAGATGAAGATTAAGATGCAGCTGAAAGAAATTAGTCGTCGGAAGAGAGGATGTAAAAGGATTCTCAAAATCCTCAAGATCTTGATCAAGACCATCGTTAGTATCATTGTTGGGGATCCCACCCCAATTCTGGCCTCCCTCTTTGCCAAGCTGATTGAATGAATTCTATTTCATCTTTTCTTTTTAGTCCAAAACCGTTTGTAATAATTCTATGATTGAATTTCGATTGTGTGCCTGCAAATAAACAGATCATAGACCATAGTTATGCTTTGCTTATTCATTATCAATGGATTACACTACACTATTTTTTTTTTAACATTTTTGTTCCCCTATCAATTTACATATGAACAGAGATTGATAAACTAGGTTACAGAATTTTTCCAAAAATAAAAAGGTTAACCAAATTTCATCGACACAAATACGAAAACGATGTAACTCATCCCCGAATCTTCTGAGAATGGAGGAACTAATGAAAGTAAAATCGGCAGAGCATCATGCATTTCAAACAATGCGCAAGCAGTTAGAAACCGATCGTCCATTCCCCAAATCTTCTATCAAAATCAAAGCAATGCTGAAAACGATCCAACCGAACCGGTTCGGATCTTCTTGTCTATCTAGTAGCTAGAAACGAGTTACCTGTTCTTATAGTCATCGTGCAGAGCTGGAAGTGAACTCCCATGGCAGAACAAGGATCGAAAGCCTCTGCTGCACCACTCCCGATTCCCGATCAGCGAAGAACGATGGGGATAGCGACGGGTGGAAGCTTGTTAAGAGATGAGAGTAGTTGAGAAATTGGGCTTGGGCTCAAGTATATCAATGGGCCGTTGAAGCGTGGGCTCAGTTTCCAATGGGTTTGACGTGACAGTTTGGGTATCAGGATTGGGCCCTTCAAATTCATACTTCACCTTTTAAATCCATAACATCTCTCTCCATTTGTAAAAAAAAATATACAAAAAGATGGAACAAAACAGCCTATAAAACCCATCAGAATTTTAATTTAGTTAAAGAAAGAGAAATGGCGAGGGAGGAGATTCTCCGAAATCATCCAAGCCACCCAAGGCATGTTCTTGAGCTGAAGAACTACATGGAACCATACACCTGCAATGGGTGCAAGGAGAAGGGGTTCGGCCCACGATATCGATGCGAAAAGTGCGATTTTGATCTTCATAAACCCTGCACTTACGATCGGGTTGCGTCAATTTCGCATGAATTTTTCCTAAGTTTGAGGTTCAGGTTCATGAGAAATCCACCAAAACCGTGCCACCCAAAATGCATAATAAGGTGCGACGCTGGTAGGAAGACCATCAAAAGATTTGTGTTTCACTGCAAGGAAGATGAGTTGGATATCCACTCATGTTGTCGTGAGCTTAAAAAAAGCTACCGAATCGAACACTTGAAGTTTAATCTCCATGTAAATAATCCTTGAATATTATAAAAATATTTAATTATAAATAGAAAGAACAATTATATATTTTTAATATAATATATATAGGAAACTCTAATCGATGATTGAATAGAGGAAAGTGCATGTGGTGCAAGAGGAAGAGGCTTGAAGATGGCGGTGAGGACAATGGGTGGTCGTACGTGTCGGAGTGCGAGGAGTACCATGTTCATGTCGCTTGTGTCACTGAAATAGCTTTAGAAGCATGGTACAAGAACCAGAGCAGCAGTGGAGGAAGCAGCAGCAGAAGCGGCGGCGGCATGAGGAGCAGTACTAGTGGAACGCAATCTGTGGCTGTCAAGTTGAATCTGAAAGAGATTCAAGCACGACGGCGGGCGGAGAGAGGAGGCATAGAGAACTGTCTTGAAACTTCTCTATGTCGGAAAAAATCTTTGTGTGAAAAACAAGTATTAATTAATTGGAAAATATTAAATATTTCTCTACATTAAACATCAAGTATTAATTAATTGGAAAATAACGTGTGAAAAACGAAAATCTTTGTCGGAAAAAATGTCGTCATTCTTGTCGTAGTCTTAATTAAATTAAATTAATATATAAAAATTGTGTTCGAGAGTACAAACAAAGTGCACCCTCTTTTCATTATATTAACAACTCTTAAATTTTGGATTATAAAATATATTTTTTTATTTTTGTTTCAGAGTTAATTGCTTTTCTTTTTTAAAAAATTCTTTTACAATATTTGTTTCCCTTCGTTCTCAAATTAAGATTGGGGTTCATAAAATATTTAAATATTTACTTTTTGTTATTTTAATTTAGTTAGTTAATTTTTTTTAAAAAATAAACATAAATATTTCTTCAAATTAAGATTATTGCTTCTTTATATAAAATAATTAAATTAAAACTAAAATACTAAATATGCAAAGACTATCAAATCAAGAAATTTTATATAACCTATTTGTCTTTGAACATTTTAGATTAATTCTTAAACTTTAAAACCTAAATGTCTGAACTTTTAATTTTAATTCTTAAACTTTAAATCACTTATCAAAGAAGTTTAGACGAATGTGGGCCGAAAGATTCTTGTTGGGCCGTCTTGAAAGTTTAGACGAGTATGGGCCCATTTAATGTTACTATTGATATTTAATATAACTTTAATGTAGAGCAATATCTTAATAATTGATTATAATATCTTAATAATTATGTTGAAATAATTTATGACCCAAATAATTAAATTTGATTTAATAATTGAACATAAAACAAGAAAGAATTTGATAAAAGGATGTCCGACAAAGATTGTAGTATGAATATTGCAATAAATTAAAAACAAAACTAAGTAGGTTTGTGAGAAAGGGCAAAAGAGGAAAGAACAGAAACCACAGCACTGCATAAAAAGGCAAGAAGAAGAAGAGCCGCAGCGGCGTTGCCTTGGTCGAAAAACGAGTTCAACCAATCAATATTGGCCTTCAAGTCTATGGTAGAACCCAGCGCCGCCGCCGCTCCCGCCAGCAGAAAGTACGACAAAACCTTATCACCGAAGAAGTCGAATAAAACACCGCCGTCGGTTTTGGTTATGAGACGATAAAGGGCTAAGGCTATTTGCAAGAGGTTGAAAGCTCCTCCAATGATGATGGTCGCCATTGCAAACCTTCAAATTTTGAATTTTTTTTTTCAAAATTAATAAGAATAATAATAATTAACAAATCATGAAACCCAATAGAAATAAATGGAAATAAATAAATAAATACCTATAGGAATTGACATTATGGAATTGAAGCTTCTCATCTCCTACGGTCTTGGAAGTGGTTCCAAGAACGATGATGGAAATTAAGAGGAAGACGAAGGTGAGAACTCTGAGCACAAAAGAAGCAATTTTGGTACCCATTTTAGCTTCCATTTTTGCTGATATTGCTAATGAATTTGATATCTATAACTGGTTCACCTTTTATAGCCCAAAAAATGTCCATTGCTTTTTGTTTTCACATGGCGCTTCAATCGTGTAAAAAACATCTTTGAATATTCAAACAAACATGTCTTTGTTCACATTATAAGTTGCCTACTACTTCCTCATTTTTCTTCTTCCATTCCGGGTAAACGTTTACCCTTGTTCACGTCTTTGTTTTTCTTTCCGAAAAAACTCAAACAAAGTGTTAGAATCACGATTCTCTTAGATGGTACGAGATAGTATTATTCATTTATAAATCCATGATCTTCCATTACAAAAAAAGAAAAGAACGGGACGTTTATCTTTTGATTTGCTTACATTAATTTCGGTAAGGTAAATATAAAAAAATTAGAACGTGAAATTTTGTATCATTTTTTGAGAAGGGTTTACATCGATTTTGTAAATGCAACAAAAACTAGAAGCTATTGTACAAGTTGACTTTTGAGTATTGAAGCAAGTGGATGAAGAGGTAATAATGGCTACTTCCTCGTTATTGCTTTGACTTTGAATAAATTATAATGGGCAAAGTCTTTTAATTATTAATTTATAAATCTATTATATTAGATTTTAATTTAACAAATATTAATTGAATTTAGGACATGCACATGCTATATTTATTGAATTTTAAATATATATTTAATAGGGTGATTAATTTTAAAAAAAAAAAAAACCTTAATTTATCAAAAATTTAATAAATACATAATAAAAAAACTTGTGCAATGTCGATGGTTTACTTTTGATGAACTCCCAAGTGAACGTGGTGGGAAGGTTCACCGGCCGGAAATGGCGGCCAAGTCTTCTCTCCCAACGTTTTTGTCAAATAACCAGACATGTTTCAAGTCGTTGTCCTTAAAATATATTTTATTCTCCTTTGACTTTTTCTATAGTTTGACCTACTCCCTCATTAATGATTCATAACGTTGTTAGATGGAGATTAAAAATCTCTAGCCTTCTTAATTAATAATAGCATGCTTAATTTAATAATTTAAAAATGTTTAATAAATAATTAAAATTTTTTATTTTATATTTATACGACAAGTAGATGAAATTTCAAATGTTTCATAACACGTTTAATCAATTCCGATCATATGACAGATGAAATTAAAAAGGTAATGAATAGTATGAAATGTGTTTTGTTTATTTTTTTTAAATGAATTATTGTTCAAAATTTTCTCGTGATATAATAGATTATTAACCGATGAATGCCACCGTAGGTGAGTAATTATATGAAAAGGAAAGAAAAAAAGAATTGTATCAAACAATCCAATCAAATTTGAGAGAAAAAGAATTGTAACAAATCATCAAACAAAAACAAATAAGAACAACATGATCTTGAGACAAAAGAAAAAAAAAAGAACATGGAAACAATTAAATAACCAAAGATTAATCGATTAAGGTCGCTTGGAGAGTGCAAAGGAAGAGAGAATAGAGACAGCCGCCGAACAAAAGAACGCAAACAAAAGAAGAGCTGAGGCCGCATATGCCTTGTCAAAGAATGTTCCAAAGTAGTCATCTGGGTCTAATGTTTGCAAATCCACCGATAGTCCAAACCCAGCTGCTGTGCCTGTGGCTAGAAGGTATGACAAAAACTGCACCAAAACCAACACATTTAAGGCCACATAATCGAATTGAATTCGAATCAAACACAACGCTTGATATGTGTGTATAACGTACCTTGTCGCCAAAGAAATCAAATAGTATGGTACCGGTTGCACCTTTAACGATATTAAAGAGGGAGAATGCGATTTGCAAGAGGTTGAATACGATCCCGATGATGATCGTAGCAAGCACGTACCTATATGTATGAAAGTTGTTGAAATGAAACTTTACTGATTCAACGGTTTGGGAAGTGGTAACGAGAACGAAGAAGGAGATGAATAGAAACACAAAGGTTAGGATTCTCAATATAAGACAAGTCACCCTTGCACCGCTTGAATTTTCCATCTTTCTCTTATGATATTAACAAAACCCAAAACTCTTTGTAATTCTCTCCACAAAAATGGCATGAAATTGCATGAGAAGAGAGTTTTATAGCCCTCGAACGTGACGTATGCCAAGTCATAAATAAATCCCATAAGTTCTTGGAGATTAATCATAAAAGACATGTTGGTGATTGGCCTCTCTTCTAGAACATATGAAAATTGAAGTTTTTTTTTTACTGGGTCAATTGTGTACACGGATTGGGTTGGGTTGAGTTACTGGGTCAATTTTGAATTAGTGACTCAAGTAACTTGAATAGAGTTCACAAGTCAAGTCAAGCCAAGCCAACTTTCTATTTTCAGGTTGAGTTGGGTTGGGTTGTCAGGTTACATTAATAACTAAAATCTTATAAACTTGTAATATCAAATATTTACAAGCCACCGTACATCGACCTTAAATATTTTTAATCTTTTTAAAAGTAGAGTATAGGGTTGGATTGTAATCCTATTTTTTAAAAAAGTTTTTAATTTTTCAAAGATTGAACTCAACCCAAACTGAAAAAGAATTTAACCCAACCCAACTTTTATGGTTTGGGTGAGATAATCGAACATCCTTAATTGGTCTTGCCATCTACCGTGGTCATCATTAGAGTAATTTGATTAAATTTTAAGATTTAAATACTTATTTTTTAGAAATAAAGTTTTGTTTCAGTTCCATTATCGTGGAGTCCTACGTTACGTTAGCTTGTTTAGGGAAAATCATGGGTACTAATTAATAAACATCACCTCTATTGGTAAGAAAATTTTTGAAAAAAATAAAAAATAAAATTACGAAAGATTATGTTTAAAGTAAATAATGTCAGACCACCGTGGAGATTCCTCAATTATGTTCAAGGATATCGAATAAAGAAGTTGTGAGGTTGATGGTTATACTCCTCCCACACGCTATTTTTTATTTTAAATATGTTTAATTCCTCGCTATTATATTTATATGTTTGACCAAAAATAATAATAATAATATTAAAGTAGGTGGTTTAATTATTTAATTTGGTAAAGTTGTGGCCATAAATTGAGGAAACAAGTGGTGGGCTACCAATTTCCATTTTTTGGAATAATATTTCAACTCTTAGCTTTCCCATAATCCCTTTCACAACTTTTGAATTTGTTCATATTAATTAAACCTATTTCAAATTTTTAAAATAAAATAAATAAAATTATGGATTTCTATTTCTTTTTTTTTTTTTTTATAAATATATGATCGTGAATTTAAATTTTCAATTGAATTTCTATAGGTTAAGTAGATTTTTCATTTTAATTTCCTATTTCTGAGGTGGATAATTTTATAATGGAAAATTATACGTAGGAAATGACTTGGCATTCTTGTCCGTATAATGGGCTGTCATAGGGTTGACCCTAGATGCCATCTCATCAAAGCTGGACATAATTCTTCCTAGTTGCTATCAAGTCAACGCTTTAAAATAATACGCAATTAAAAAATAACAAAATAAAAAAAAATCAGTTCACCCAAATAAATAAATAATGACGTATTATTATGGTGCATAGGCAAGCATATTTATTTCCAAAATTTAGAGAAAATAATAATAATTTAATGATATAACCTAGAATTTTTTCGAATCCAACTTTTTTCATGGAACATATTATATTAATACTAAAATCCCATAAAAATTGAAAATATGAATTAATTAAGGTCTCTTCGAGAGCGCAAAGGAAGAGAGAATAGAATAGAGACGACTGCAGAACAAAAGAAGAGCTGAGGCTGCATATGCCTTATCAAAGATATGACAAAAACTGCACCAAAATTGTTGCACACTAAAGAATTGAATCGAATAACACGCATAATTTGACTCACACATGACACAGAATGTTTGTGTATAACGTACCTTGTCGCCAAAGAAATCAAATAATAGGGTACCGTTTCGATTCTTAACGATATTAAAGAGGGTTTACCAAATCAACAACCCCTTGTCACAAGAGAAGAATGGGTGGTTTTGGGGCCCTTTTTTCATCATCCTTTAGTGTATAATATGTACCCATTTCGGAGACGATGTATATTTGATCTATTTTGATTTTATGCTTTATATCCTTCCTTTCTTTTTTTCGCTCTCGTAGACAACTAAGTCAACTGCCCCTTGTCATCATCCTCATCCCAAAGAAACTAAAAACAAGGTCGTGAGAGTTTATGTTCAAATTGGACAGTATCATACCTTTTGTATGAAGAGTCGTTATAGTGATATCAAAGTCATGCCTCTAGCTTAGTCATATCAGTAGAATTCTAAGAGTATCAAACAAAAAGGTGTGAGCTTTAAAGGTATGCTAACGATAGTTGACACAGTTTATTTGGAAAAAGATTAATAATGATTTAATATATAACGAGCGGTTTGATAAGAAATATAACTATTTTTAATATATATAAATAAAGATACATTCTTTCAATATTCTATTCGTCCTCCCACATACTTTTAATATATTATTATTCAATTTAATATATTATTTTTAATGTGGATAATTTTATGATGGAGAATTATACGTTGGAAATGACTTGGCATTCTTATCCAGTCAAGTCAACGTTTTCTTAGTTTTTGTCAAGTCAACGTTTTAAAATAATACGCAAATTTAAAAAACTATATTTTTTTTCAGGTCAACGAAATAATAAAATAATTAAACCTAAAAAAGAAAAAATAGTGACGCATTATTATGGCGTCCCCTCGTGGTTATAATTTTGTTTCCAGAAGTGGATAATTTAATAATAATATTTATTTCCTAAATAAAATAATATTAATTTTATCCATGAAATCCAGAATTCAAATTTATTTGGTTTATTAAAATAAAATAAAATAAAAATGGCTTTAACTTTCATAGCTCATGCGAAGCCCATTCTATCAAGTCGTGGATTTCGAGGCCCATAATATAGCGGCCCATTATATTGGGCTTAGTTTCTTAGATTCATACCAGCCCAATTCCCTTAGGGCCCATCAAATAAATCATAATAATATGGAATAAAATAATTTTTTTTTGAAGTGATGCAAAAGAAAGAGGGGTATTATTTGAAGGGTTAAATAAGTAAAATGGGAAGGGATTGGAGGGTAAATAAGTAAAGTTGGGAGGACGTTACTTTAATAAGACTCCACTAAGTGAGGTGCGATATGACAAAGAAGAAAGGCCCACGTAATTTGTGGACAAATCCATTCCCAAAATTGAGTCAAAAGCTAAGCTCTCTCTCTTATACGACACAACAATTAATATAATCAATTCAAACATGTCACACACACACCCCCATCAGCTTTGTCTCTTATTAAATCATCTCAATGTTTGAATACAAATTAATCATATGTTCCATCAACATCATCTATCTTTTTTTCCCTTTAAATTTTAAACAAATATAATCAAATTTATATCACTTTAATGAGCTTAACCGGGAGCGACACCATTTTTTGGTGCATATCGAAATCCTCGAATTCCAACATTCCTCTCAGCAATGTTGAAAAAATATCGACTGTGACTTAGTTTTTTCGCGCGCGTGCTCCAAATGACTCAATTAGGGTTTCGGTTCTAAGTCTGTATGTACAACGTTGTAGGCTTTTTTTGAATAAATCTATTATTTGAGAAGAAAATAGGGTTTGGGCTCAACTGAAAAAGCATACGCATAAGCACCCGAGCTCTTTCATCCAAATCCACCGAACCATCCAAAGCAAAAGCTCTTCTTTACCCCCTAACAAATACTTTGATCAATAGGGTTAATTGGTAAATTTAAATATATTTTCTTAAAATGAAAAATAATAAAATTTGATTTGTCATGAAATTTGGATTAAATCTTTATTAAATAATCATAGAAATTTCTTTAATTTCTTTTTCTTTTAGAAAAAGTGTCTTTTAATTTAATTATTATTATTTTCACTTATCGAAATTGATTATGCCTCGAATTCATAAAATCCAAATCAATAGAATTATATAAAGATTTTGAGTGGTTAAAACCCCAATGGAAGAATAATACCTTGAGATGAAAATTAATGGCTAAAAGCTGCCATAAAAATACATAAAACAATACCATATCCAACAAATTTAAGGTAACATAAAATCTTTGTCGTGAGAACAAATAAATCATTAACTTTCTCACAAAAACAAATAAATCATCATACGAGAATCGAACCAATACTTAAGATGATAATTGAAGTCGAAAAAACGCTATATCTCGATAAATTTTATAAAAAAAAGAATTAAAATTTATAATCGTTTGAGTAAATAAGCGTAATGATGATGTTGTAGATGCCGGAGATAATTTGGTAGAAATGATTAAGACATAATTTCTTAGTCAAAGATTGTTTGCTTCTTGGCTCCACATTGCCTAAAGGAAACCTCCAAACCACATGCTCTACCTTCATCCTCCTTACTCAATCTTATCCACTTCCTTTGATTTCTCTAGTAAAGTTATAGCTCTCTTTCTCTCTTTCAATATATATAGTCTCTCAAGTCGTAGTATCCAACTACGAAAAGTCTTTACGTGATTGATTGATATAGTTCATCGAATTTATGACGAAACGAGATACTCGTTAATAACCCTAAGTTTGATGGATCTGATGTGTATTTGTTCTTACGGGTTAAAAATTCAAACCCACTTCCACTTTCACTTTTATGGGTCTGATATATATTTGTCTTCTCTTTTACCCGTTACCCATTTTCTACAAATTCAAAACACGTGTATAATAGGGGGCAGATCCTCATTAGGGTTTTTAACAACGTTGTTTGTCTTTGAAGATATATAAACTTTTAGGAAATTTGAAAGCAGTCGGAGATTCAAACTCTCTCTTTGAATTCATCTCTTCACTTTAATAAAGTACGAAAATTTGATCGAAAATTTGATCATTCAACGAAGAGAGTTTGATTCAATATTAGTATAAGAAAAAGCGAGTACTAAATATAGTGAAAGAGTATCCAAGTTACATATGATTGAGCACATAGGGAAGAACGTGAGGTGTTATAACCTAGAAAAAAACACACAAATTGGAATCTCTCTAATTTTCTCTCTTTTTTTGGCCTTTGTTTCTCCCATAGATGAGATGAGAGATAAAGCTAAAAGAACCAAAGGACAGGATAAAGCTAAAGCTGCCATGGAAACAGAGAGAACATCTTCACGCCTATGCATGTGCCCATCAACCCACAAACAATAACCTAAAAGACCCCTCCTAACTTAGCTTGGAATTCCGGGCTCGGTTCTTTTCTTTTCTTTTCTTTTCTCTTCTCTTCCTCGTTCGATTTTGGGTGACTTATTTATGAGTATAAAACAACCCACAAAGCACAAACAAAAACGAATCATACGTTCTCTTATATCAGTTGGGTTTTCTCGATCTTTGTTCTTGTATTATGATATTAGGTTATATCAAGAGGACGAAAGTAAAAAGAGTAAAAACATATTCGAACAAAAAAGAAATGGAAAGCAAGATTCCATTCAAAAAGAATAAAAATCTATAAGAACTAAATGATGGGAAATACTGACATCATAACCATGATGCTAAATTCCAATCCCCTTTTACTTTGGATTCACTTTTGTTTAAATACACAAACATTACAATCAACACCAAAAGTTTAAGTGGTCAAGAGAAGGGCTTCTCCCTTTTTCTACTTTTGACCACCCCTTTTGAACCAACAAAAAAAAAAACATCCTAAAATGCCCCTAATTCAATCCGATACAAGACATGATTAAGCTCGATTCAAGATTGATATTCGAAGGGTCTTTACTCCGTGTTGATCGATTAAGCTATGCTCGGATTAATGGAAATAAGACTAAGATTAGAAGAGCAATGGATGATCATTCATCATTCATCATTCATGTGATTTCACAAAGAGATTATACAATTTGAGCGCTCTTCTCAAGTCAGAGATGATATCAAACTTAACGATGCATAATATAACAAAGCTCCTAATTAAAGTTAAACCCCAAATTTAAATAAATCAAGAAAAAAAAAATATTATAATAACAATGAAAACCCTCTAATTCTGAAATTTCATTCACCTTCTTTCCCCTTCCATGTTAGATTTTGAGCATTTTCTCAGCTGGGTTTCTCATTCTCTTTCAGCCCTGTACTACAAATTAAACAACAAAGAAAAAGAAAAAAACAAACCCCCGAAGTGTTAAGTTTTTGTAAGATCATGAAAAAATCGAAACCCCAAATTATAAAAGATCCGAAATTTGATCGGTACTCCATGCGGCATTCCCCGGTGTTGTTGTTGTTGTTGTGGTTGTTGTTGTTGTAGACGTGGTGGAATTCCAGAACGGATCGTTTGGTTGAATTCCGAGGAAATTTCTTGACAAATTGTGAATCCCTTGAGTTTCTTCCATGATTTTCATAGTATTGTTATTGATATTCCCCAATTGATGATGAGGTGTGGAAGAACTAAATCCATTGTCCATTAATGGCTTTGACAAACGCTGGTAATTTGAGAAATCAGCTGCTTGTGGTTGATTATGATGATGATGATGATGTTCTTCAGCCATGAAATTTGAGTACATCCCATTTTGTTGATGTAAATTTGCAAAAAAGGGTATTTTCCATTGATGATGATCCGTAATTCCACTTGATAAAATTGAGGATTCTCCCCCTGATGATGCCATTGATGGGATTTGAAGAGCTTCAAAGTTCAAACCCAGGTTCCCAAAATCACTAAGATGCTGCAAATTTTGAGCCAAAAATGGGAAATGGGTTGGCGGCGGCGGCGGTGGAGCTGGTGGTTGATGAGCCAATTGGTGGCTAAGTATATCCGTTGTGCAGCTATTTGATGACACTGTGCTTGTTGAAGTACTTGAACCTCCGGGAGATTTTGACCTATTGCTACCTCCTTTGCTTCTCTTACTCGACCGCCGACACCCACCTCCAACCGGCACACTCCTCATCGCCCCGCCTCTCGTCCAGTATCGTCGACAGGTCTTGCAAAAGTGGCGAGGCTGAGTGAGACTATAGTTGTTGAAGTAACAAAACTTCGTGTTTGTTGATTCACATCTAGGGCATTTTAGTCCAGCTTCGGGTTGCGGTATCTTCGCTAACCTAGCTCGATCTGTCATCGAGCCAGGTCTAATCGAGCCAGGTCCACCCCCACCACCGCCACTGGGGGCCGGGGGTGGCGGAGGTGGAAGATGCTGAGCATTATTAGTCTCACAGCTACTTGGTTGGAGCTGATTTGGTTGCTATTAAACCGATGAAAAAGCATAACCCCAAATCAAATGTTTGGTATATTCAAGTAAAGATATGCGAATATTTGTTGCTTTTGTAGTGAAGAAGCTATAGAGAGAAAGAGCATACCTGAGAAGGCCAATTGGGTGGATCAAGAAACACTGGAACTGAAGAGAAAACCATGGAGGAGGAGAGGAGGATAAAGGAAAAGAACAAAGATGAAGATAGTTGAGTGGGAGAGAAGAAAGAATATATATATACATATATATATATATACATATATATATATATATATATATATGTATGTATGTATATGTATATATATATGTCCCCTTCTGGCTTTAGGGTTTTGAAGAGAGAGAGAGAAGAGAATAAATATTTGGGTAAGTTTCTTATTGTTTAAGCTTCTTACAAAGAATTTAATAATGGAATTTGGGTTTAGGGTTTGGTTCGGTTCGGTTCGGTTTGGTTTGGCCATGCATGGCCATCACCACTCAAAAAGAAACCCTACTGTGGAAAAAGAAATTCTCTCTATGCTCGTTTCTTTTTTACCAACTTCTCTCTCTCTCTCGTTCATTTCAAAAATAAAAATAAATATATATATATTTTTTTTTATGGACGAGAAGATATATAAAAATTATTTTTTTAAGAAAAAAGTTGAAGCTATGGTGGGATGGTCTTGAGTGGTAGTGTCACAATCGAATGTACGTTTGTTTCTTAATTTCATACTAGAATTTAGCTATCTTTCGACATGGTCATGTTATCTACTCTGTCTCTCCACTAACTCATAAGAATTCTTTCAAGTCAGAACTAAATATGCTTACTGTGAGATTCCACATTGGTTGGAGAAGGGAACGAAACATTCCTTGTAAAGATGTGAAAACCTTTCCCTAACATACGTGTTTAAAAGCTTGAGGAGAAGTCTATAACTGAAAGTCCAAAGAAGATAATATCTATTAGTGATGGGCTTGAGACTGTTACAAATAGTATCAAAGCTAGACACCGTACGGTGTGCCAATGAGTACATTTAGTCCCCAAGAGAGGTGAATTGTGAGATCCTAAGAGGGCATACACATTTTAAGACCTTGAGCAAAAGCTCATAAGAATCTCAAAAATAACAATATCTACTATAGATGGGTCACTGAAAAAAGTGCACATTGGTCATGGTTAATAACTATTTATGTATTTATTAACCACTAGAACTTTAGGATCACTCTCATTTAGATGTTGGCTTGATTCATTTATGTAGTCCTTTACTCGAGTGTAACATAATCTGTCTCTGCCATCATTACCTCTACTGGTTCGTTTGGATGCTCTTATGTCTACTTCAACCGGCGCTTTTTATTGCTACTCATAATAAGCAAAACCCTATTTAATGATTCACCTACTTAGTATATACTTTTTTTTTCGCCTTTTTTTTTTTAATTTAAACCCAATATTTCCCCTTTTATATGAAAGTGAAGTCTAGGTCAATAAAGTATAAAGTCATTGAATCTTTGTTTAGTGAAGAACCTCGCATTATTCTCAATAAAATTATGTGTATATTGTAAATGTAAATGTATTACATCTATATGTTTCAAAAAAATTATCTAAACTATATATTAATATTTTTATAATTATTATCGCTATAACTTTCATATATTAAATATAATAAATTGGGTCGAGCTATTTCACAATTTGACGTCGAAGAAAATAAAATTTAAAATTATAGAACTATATAATAATTTAAAAAAATCAACAAAAAAGGAAAGAAAAAAAAAGTGGGTTGAAATATAATAGGTTCTAGAACAAGAGAAAAGTTATGCCATGTAGTGCAAACAATAATAATAAACAGCCCCTGACCAAATAAATGAAAGGATATTTTTGTCCCAACATAATAATAATGAATTTTTTTTTCTCACATTTTAATTATTAAAAGTTCGAACTTAATTAGCGTCGGAACACTTAAATGTTTGATATTTTATCTACTAAATTATGTTTAAATTGACGTTTATCAAATTTAATTATATACTAAACTTCATCTTATAATTTTTATAAAAAAATAAAGAGGATTAAATTAAGAATTAACTAAAAGAGTAGGGACCTCGTATAATTAGGTTAATATTTTTTTATTGGTCCTATACTTCATAATGTTGTGTTACTTTGACATTTTTTACCCTAATTTTGTCCGTAGTAATATCGATGACAAAGTGATGTGACAATAAGGTGACAATTCTTTACCACGTTTACACCTTTTATAAATATATTTTTTCCTTATATACTTTATTCTTTCTTTTTAATGCAATATCTCTTACTTTTACACTACCAATAAAATGAACGGTACTAGAAAAGATCATATCCTTACATAACCCACTACTAGCAGTCTCACAGTTTTAAAAGTGTCTAGTAAGGAGAGGTTTTTATGTATAAGGAATATTTTGTTATGGTCTCCGTGATCTTTTTATAATAAATAAGGATATTAGTTTGCATTAATTATAAGATAAAGTTTTAACATTATAGTTGACAAATTTTAATTAAAATGATGATATAGTTGAATACATTAGTACAAGATCCAAGTTGGGTTGGAGATATTAATGGAATCAAGAATATTTGGATCTCAAACATGTGATTGACTTTAACAACTATACAAACATAATTAATAATAATAAATAAACAAATAAATAAATAAAAAAAAAAAGAAAAAAAAAAAGGTACGTGGGTGTGTTTGGGAATCTAATTCCCTCTCTATCTAATCAATCTTTGCCGGAATATTTCTTTATCTCATTTCCATGCACCCACCCAACCATTAAAAAAATATAAATATAAATATAAATATAAATAATAATAAATAGATAAAGATGGGAAGCCAAAGCGTAGCTCTTTGCAGCTTTTGCCCCCCATCATATGCCAAGTACATTTGTTCATATCTTTTTTTGTTTTTTATTTAATTTTTTTTATTTAATTATTTATTTTTATTGAGGATATTCAATATTATTAGCTCATATCACTTGCTGACAGATACACCCATCCCTCTCCTCTCATATTTTAATGCATATTACCACCACGTGTAACTTTTTTTTTTTTTTTTTTTTTTTAAT